TAGATAATCTTCCGGAGAAAGATGCAGAGGATTGCACACACCTAATGGAATGGATATGAGCAACACATCTCGAAGAACAACAGTTACAACGGTGAGTAACCGTCTTTTCTTGTTTGAACCCTAGTCTTGACCTTCACAACATCCTCTGGCAAGGAGTTCCACAGGTTGACTGTGCGTTGTGTGAAGAAATACTTCCTTCTGTTTGTTTTAAACCTGCTGCCTATTAATTTCATTTGGTGACCCCTACTTCATGTGTTATGAGAAGGAGTAAATAACACTTCCTTATTTACTTTCTCCACACCAGTCATAATTTTATAGACCTATATCACATCCCCCTCATTCATCTCTTTTCCAAGCTGAAAAGTCCCAGTCTTATTAATCGCTCCTCATACGAAAGCGGTTCCATACCCCTAATAATTTTTGTTGCCCTTTTCTGAACCTTTTCCAATTCCAATGTATCTTTTTTTAGATGAGGCGACCACATCTGCACGCAGTTGCCAGTTTGGATGAGGAACACACCACGTGCCAAATCACTATCTCTGGGTGCTCAGGACTTCCTTAGTTGGCTGAATTAAGTAGCCAGGTTTGAAAACATTTCTCCCCTGGACTTAGACTGTCTCAGTTTCCACCTGAATTCGCAAGGGAAATACTGTTCATAGTCTCTGGGGTTTTGTAACTTCATGGTCAGAGTGATCAGTGATGCACAGGTTCCCAAATGGCATGAAATCCAGCTAGTCAGAGTTGGAGTCAAACTCACAACAAATACCCTGTGTTACAGCCATCAGCTGCAGGGCGGCATGCTGCCAAGAGATGAACAAGGCAGGCCTTACCCTTGAGTCCAGTGCTCTGTATTGGAATGAATTTACTTTCAAAATCTATACAAATATACATGAACTGATTTCTTTTCCTTACTACTTTTTCCCCCGGCTCTGGTAGTGCTGCTCCTGCTCTGTTGTGACTCACAGGATGGTGCAGAATCTAGATCTGGGATTCGGGCTCCGCTGCTGGTTGATTTGTTGCTGCAGGCTCTCCTTCTCCTTCATCAAACTCTCTATCCGCTCTTCCAGCTTCCTCACTTCTCCTGTCCATTTCTGAGGATGTACAACAGCACAGTCACTATTTGTCTGAAAGAGCCACTGGCACAGCACTTACAGGCTAGATTCAGAAAAGGACTTCAGTACCTAACTGCTTCCTTAGGTGCTGAAGTCCAACAGTTAGGTACCTCTGCCATTCCCAAAATTACCATTCAGTTGCCATCTAACCCTTACGTTTCTCCTGGTAGCTAGCTAATGAGCTGGTCTGAGACCCAGGTTACGCCTAATCCCCAGTGCGCATCTCACATGAGCTTGCATGCAGGGCCTGCTGTGGGAGTTGGGTTGTGAGCATGGCTAGCCTGCACAAAAGGCAGCCAGGGGAAAGAGCAGGTGTGTGTCTCTGTCTGTTTGGCCCCCAGGCTACCTGGGCTGTGGGAGAGTCAGCTTTGAATCCCTGTGCTGCCTCTCTTTGGAGCAGGGATTGGACCCAGGTGAGAGTCCTCACTACTAGGCTATTGGGGGGTGGGTCTCTCTCCCCTACTGAGGCTGTTCCATTGTGTATAACTACTAAATGGTCATTGGAGCGAGGACATGAACCTGACTCTCCCACCTCAGTGCCCAACCCATGGGGCCAGTGGCTGTGAGGGAGTCACTTGTTTTTCCCAAGAAAGGGCTGAGCTGGCTCAGGCACCTACCTCCAGGAAAGGGTTTATGGCTGAGACCCCTCTGCAGAGACAGGCGCCCCTCCCCCACCTGTCAGGTGCCTAAGACCCAGACCAAGGGGAGTTAGGCACGTAAGTACATTTGTGGAGCTGAGCCCTAAGCCTTGCCCCTTTCCTCAGCAGTTCCTTCCTGGCTAGCTTAGGCAGATCCTGTGCTGGCTTTTGTGAATCCCTTTAAATAGTTTGTGAGCCCTCTAGCGGTGCTCACTGTCTCCAGGCTCAGAAACCACCAGGACCTTGAAGATCAGCAATGTGTGTGTGTAGCTGGGCTAGCTGGCTGGGGCTAGGGTAACCAGATGTCCCAATTTTATGAGGACAGTCCCAATATTTGGGGATTTTTCTTATATAAGTGCCTATTACCCCCCCAACACTCTGTCCCGATTTTTCATATTTGCTATCTGCTCACCCTAGCTGGGGCTAGTTAATAACCACAGTTGTTTGGACCCCGCTGTGCCCATGCGGGTCCTTTACATGACATATGTGCTGTAAGGGCCAAAGACACAACAAACATGGACAAATACAAGGAACAGCCAAAGTGGGTATCGGAAAGCACTGTGATTAAATGTTTCCAGCCACGTGACCTAGTCTACTGTCAGAGAGAGCGAGTGAGGGAAGGCGTGTATGTAGACAGACAGACAGACAGGGTCTGGGGATCAAAGCATCTCCCCATGGCATTGCCTAGGGCCCGTTGGTGAGAGCAGACCCATAGATGGGTGAAATTCAGCCTTGCACTGACTCTGCTCAGGAGTGAATTCCACCTCGGATCCCTTCTGCATGGGGGGGCTGCAGTTCCCCCTGCAGGGCAGGCTGCAATAGCATCACTGGTTGTAGCTCAGGCTCACCCTGTATTTAGCAGCAGTTTGCTGCCTTGCTGTATTAGCAACCCTTGCATGCCAGTTACCTGCCTGCACCACTCCTGGATGGCGCTCCCAGAGAGTGGTCCCTGGATGCTGCCGTCCCGGCGCAGGTACACTTCCCCCTGGTCCGTTTCATAAAGCAGCAGCTCCCCCTGCTGCCTGGGCAGATGAACGCTTAGCCGGATCACTTTCAGGAAGATGCCGGTGTCTTCTGCTTTGACCACAGGGATGAAGGTCAGGGTGTAGGCATCGGGGAACACCTGCGGCTTGAACCCTTTCAGAATGGAGTCGATGAGCAGGCGGATGCGGTCCTCCTCTTTGTGCCCACACATGACCCCATGCACGAAGCCGCTGTCCTCCACCCCCACAAAGAGGCTGCCCCCTTCACTGTTGAGGAAGGCGCACACATACTTCCGGACGTGGTGTTTGAGGGTCACACTCAGGTATTCCCCCCCACCCCGCTTGAACTCCACATTCCTGGTCTCACTCCCCATGAAGGCTCCATAGAACAAGCGCTCCTGGCCCACGATCTCCCTCCGAACGATGGCGCTGTCTGACCTGGTGCCACTAAGAAACACTGCCGGCCGCTCCATCAGCTTCCGGGCTTGAGGGGGGCCCTTCCAACAAGGGCTGGGCTGGGCTTCCTCGGCCCCCCACAGCCTGCTCTTGCCAGACTGCAAACGCCCCAGCACGGGAGACTCTGGGGCGCTGGCACCATTCATCTGTGTGTCACTCTGTGCAGAGCCAGAAAGATTAAACGTCACGTGCATGCAGGGACAGACAGCGCAGAGTGGGGGCGACACGGAAGACTGCAGCCAGCGTTATAACAGCAGCACAAAGGCCCCAGTCATAATAATATTCAGGCTTTAAAGCACATGGGCCCTTTTATTTAATTGCCATCCTGCCGCAACAAGTGACTACGCTCAGATCTGCCCCCTGTGAGAATCATCAGCAGAGCTGCCGACTTCTTACTGTGCCTTTTACTCCTGTCAGAGCAGCCCAGTGACAGACGAGGGTGCTGGAGCCTATGCCTTCTTGTGCAACATCCACAGAACGATTTACTTCCTTCTCCCCCTTGTCCCTGGGCAAACCCATTGAAGGCCTGGGGGTTCCATACAGCGTCTTTGTAACTGGTGCTGATGTGTGAGAAGGAAAAGAGCCCAGCTTGACTCTCAGGTCCTGGGGGACCTGGCAGCGCTGGCAGTTACACGGCTCGTCTTTTCGGCAGTAGATTGAGCATGCCTGAGCTGGAGTCACGGAGAACAAACAAATATGGAACCCATGATGCCATTCTCGGAGCAGAACTACAAATTACTGTCCTGGATAAAGGAATCACTGGGGGAAATTCTCTGGCCTGTGTTCTGCAGGGAGTCAAGCTGGATGAGCATACTAGTACCCGCTCACCTTAAAATCAATGAAATTCTGCCCTGAAATCAAGGGGGATGCCCATTGTGTAAGTCAGTCCACATCACACAGTCCTATCTCCCTGGACACTTCCGGGTCCTTCCCTGTAGAACATTTTCTAATGCATTGGTTACTTAACTGCTCTTGCCAATTCCCCTGGGATCTGAGAGTCAAGCTGGACTCTTTCCTTCCCGCACATTATCATCTGTATAAAGGTTCCACAGGGCCAAATTATACCCTTGGTAGCACAGGGGCAACCCTCATTGTCTCCTAATCCTGCCCCAAAAGACACAGGCCCAGGCCTTGGCTGGACTTGCCCAGGTCGAATGGCAAACAGTTCTGTTGACGGTGCACAAGAAGGAATGGACTCCAGCTGCTCTCTCTTAGCTGTGCTGGCTCCTCGAGGCTAACGTAGTAGCAACTTAGTGATTAAAAAAAGGTCAGCAGCTCTGGCTCTGTCTATGCACAGGGGGTGAACCCCCGCTCCCTCAGGCAGGGGGCAGCACAAGGCCTGGCCAGCACAGTCCCTTTGAAGCCCTCAAATTGGTTAAGAGGGATTATGTGGCACAAGAACCTCGAGCAGAGGGGTGGATGTCACCTTTGACTGCACTGCTTTCAGAGTGGTAGCCGTGTTAGTCTGTATCAGCAAAAACAACGAGGAGTCCTTGTGGCACCTTAGAGACCAACAAATTTATTTGGACATAAGCTTTCGTGGGCTAGAACCCACTTCATCAGATGCATGCAGTAGAACATACAGTAAGGAAGTATAAATACACAGCATATGAAGAGATGGGAGTTGCCTTACCAAGTGGGAGGTCAGTGCTAACGAGCCAATTCAATTAAGGTGAAAGTAGGCGATTCTCAACAGTTGACATCACTTTTGTAGTGCTAATGAGGCCAATGTAATCAAAGAGGCCCGTTTCAAAGAGTTAACAAGAAGGTGTGAGTATCAGCAGGGGGAAATTAATTTTTGTAATGACCCATCCACTCCCAGTCTTTATTCAGGCCTAATTTGATGGCGTCCAGTTTGCAAATTAATACCAGTTCTGCAGTTTCTCGTTGGAGTCTGTTTTTGAAGTTTTTTTTGTTGAAGAATTGCCACTTTTAAGTCTGTTATTGAGTGTCCAGGGAGATTGAAGTGTTCTCCTACTGGCCGCCAACCTGAAGCAAATACTCACCAGCAACTACACACCACACAACAAAAACACTAACCCAGGAACCAAACCTGCAACAAACCCTGGTGCCAACTCTGTCCGCATATCTATTCAGGGGACACCATCATAGGACTTAATCACATCAGCCATACCATCAGGGGCTCATTCACCTGCACATCTACTAATGTGACATATGCCATCATGTGCCAGCAATGCCCCTCTGCCATGTACATTGGCCAAACCGGACAGTCTCTGCACAAAAGAATAAATGGACACAAATCAGACATCAAGAATTGTAACATTCAAAAACCAGTAGGAGAACACTTCAATGTCCCTGGACAATTTCCCCCGTTGATACTCACACCTTCTTGTTAACTCTTTGAAATGGGCCACCTTGATTACATTGGCCTCATTTAGCCCACAAAAGCTTACGCCCAAATAAATTTGTTAGTCTCTAAGGTGCCACAAGGACTCTTTGTTTTGACTGCACTGTATCTCAGCGTGTCCTCTCTCAGAGCATCTCCTGGACACAATGGTTAGGAGAGAAGCCATCCCAGGGTGGATGACCTCACGAGCTGGCCAGATCGGGAACCCAGCGCTGGAGTTGACAGGGAAGCTCTGCCCCATTCCAGGGCCAAGCCAGGAAGGCGGCATTGCTGCAGTGCAAACCGTGGGGCCCAGGAATTGTGCAGGCAGTGCCGATTGCTGAGACATTCCGCTTCTTAGCAGCTCACAAGACTGCTGCGGCCCATGGGATGAGGTGGCTCATCTCTTGGAAGGAGGGAATAACAAAGCGCCCAGCCTTCAGATGGAAGTGTTGCTGGGGCTTAGCTCTCCTGGGTGAGAGCTCCCCCTTGTCCTGCTGCCCTGGTGATCTCACTACCAAAAGGCAGCATGTCCAGCCCACCCCACTAGGCCTTCACTGACACTCCGCTAATGTAGTGCATTGTGCCTATCCCACTCAATGCCTGGGCCTACCTCTTGGCACTCCTTAGCACTGGGCGAGGCTCGCCTGCCTTCCCCCACCACCAGGGTTTTCCCCTTCATCACTAGCTCCCTGAGGAGATGTTGCTCCATGTCCGAGGCAACCTGGAGCTGCTTCAGGACGTTCTCCAGGCTCAGCTCGGTGGCCACCTGCACCAAGGCATAGGCCCGTCTCGGTTTCTTCACCACTTCTATGTCATGCCGCTGCAGGGGGAGGCTGGCGGTGCCCAGAATGTCCTTCAGCATGCTGCAGAGAACCTCCCGCGAGTACTTGGGGTTCAGGTTCCCAATATACAGTGTGTAGACGTGAGTCAGGCAAGGGAGCACCTCCTCCACGGGCTCTGCCAATGGCTCCCCTGCTGTCTCTTCCATAGGCTCCTCTGCTGATGACTCCGGTGCGTTGTCCATTGCTCAGAACCCCATCCAGCTCCCAGTGTCCCTGTCTCCAGCAGTAAGGGTGCTCCAGTTCCAATGCTTCAGGCAGCAAGACTAGCAGTGGCTCTTTTCCATTGTGCTGCCTCTGTGCTCTGCTGCGGGCAGGGCTGCTGGTCGGTGGAGCGCCATGGTAAACCCAAAGGCACCTTTCCGCCTGCAGGAGCTTTCCCAGAGGAACCTGTTGTGGCTGCAGTCCCTGCACAATGTTATATTCTGCAAGGAACAAGCCAGGGAGAGAGCAGATCCTTCAATTCAGCCCTTGACTGCATAGCTAGGCCCAGAGATTCCTTGTTGCAGGCCCAGGAGTTGAGCCAATGCGGGGTGGGGGGCGTCACACACAGCTTTAGCAGCAGGGTCTGGACAATCGCTGGGGGCGCTGCCTGCAAACCTGCAAAATAGGAGCAAGTCAGTACAGAGCTGCTGACAAACGGGCCAGCACTGATCTGTGCAGCGACAGCAGCGTTGCGCCTTCGGTCTCATCGAAGGGAGAAAGCCCAATGCCCAGGCCTCTGTCACGCAACAGCGCCCAGGAGAACATGCAGTCCCCAGGTGTTTCACTCCTAACTGGTCAGTGCACTGAGGCGATGTGGAGGAGTCCAGGGCTGCTAGGGGGAGGCTGAGGATGGCAGGCTGGGCTCCCTAGCAGCATAGCACCCTCTTCCCCACCCCGGGAGTGCCACGGGCAGGGGCGGAGGCAGCATGGCACAGAGCCCAGAGCTGCTCCCTGCTCCCTAGGAGCCTGGCAGCTCCCTGCCTCTGCCAGGAGGCTGCCCAAATGCCTCATCAAAAGATCCTGCCATGCGCCAACCTGAGTGTGCACAGGGGCTGGCTCGCCGAGCCTGGTATGGCAGGAGCACAGCAGTGATGGGCGCAGCCGCTGCCCTGGGCCCCACATGCCCTGGCCTGTGTCGAGCAGCTAGTGCTTGGGATGGAGACCAAACGCAGCTTAGTGTATCCCCTCTGCCTCCCCCCACCCGCTCCCCTTTGCTGGTCCCTGGGCTCCCCTCTGCCCCCCAGGTTTGGGCCTTCCATCTCCTCCTTCCCAACTGCTCTTTCCCCCATCATGCCGCCCACACTCCTCCTCATGCCCTTGGGCTGGGTCCCCGCTCCACTCAACACTCCAGTCTCTACCCTGTTCTGGGCCAGCCCAGCCTGCTGCTGCCCTCACCGACCCCTCACCCTGGGGCAGGAATCACACTGGAGGAGGGGCTCTGTGATACTAGGTACCTCAGGGAGCGTGACCCCAGCCCCCCATGCCCTGCTAGCCCTGACACTTTCATGGGCCACAGGCCAACCCCCTCAGCAGTGCCCTCAGGAGTGTGAGCCCTGACTCCACGTGGTGAAGACCCCACAGGCTGAACAGGCCGGGCAGGCTGGGCTCAGGGCCAGCCTGATTCCTGATGGGAGGGCACAGGTGTGAGGCTTGCAGGGGGTGGCAGAGTGAGGCTGTTGGGCTGGCGCAGGGCAGTGCCAGGGCCTAGGGGAAGCTGCGGGGTTGTGGAGCTGGAGGGCCCAGCTGAGGCAGGGGAGGAGCAGTTTGCCTGGCTCCCCTCTCTGAGGATGACACAACCTTATGGGGGTCCTTATGGGTCCCCGCAGCCCTTTTCCCTGTCCCCAGTGTGCGATGTCCCTGGGTTGGGGAGAGGGGCTGTTCCAGGACCATGGTGCCACAGCACCGGCTGATGGGCTCCCCAGAGGAGCTGCTGCCAGTGTGTGTAGGGACAACTCTCCCTTGTGCCCTGGGCTGGGCCCCACTGAAGCAGAGAACAGCCTCAGGAGAAAGGCCCCTGCCCCATGATCACTGCCAGGTGCGCACACTGACTGTGGTGAGATTGACTCTGCCAGCCCATTGCAGCCTCCAGTCTTGGCATCTGGTCTGTCACCCTGACGCCAGTAACCAGCCAGCCCGGACAGCGCACTCGGCAAAGGAGGGCAGCGGTAGCCCCGTTATAGGGGGAAGTGACTTGACCAAGGGCACCAAGGAATGAATGGTGGAGCTGGAAGGGCACCAGGATCCCTGACTGCAAGACCAGCATCCTAATGTGTGTTTGCAACACACTGGAGCCGCCAGCTGGGTGTGCTGCTTAGCGCGATGCCCACGGCCAGCGATGTTTGTGCTGACTTGGAACAGACCAGGAGGCATCTCCCCACTTTCCAGCACACTGACAGAGAACAGGCAGGACGATGAAAATGCTGCGAAAGGCTTGCTGGGGATATTGGCTGAACTGGCTCCAGCCGCGCTTCCCTGGCATTGAGGGGGTTTGATCAGCACCAACGCTCGTGGGACACAAATATTCAAGTCACACACAGGAGTTTCCATGGGAACTGACTGTTAAAATTCCGCACATGAGTGCTGGAGCCAGGAGCTCATGTGCACCCACTGCCAACGTATCCCTCCAGCCCATCAGGTGCAGCTGAGAGCTGCAAGGACCAGGCCTCCCTCTTAATCCCTTTGCCAGGTCCCTGCTTTCCAGCTCCTCCTCTTGGCCTCACTTTCTAAGCCTTCCCAGCTCCAACCCCTCCTGGCTCACTGGGTTGGCCTCGTCCCCATTCAACAGCGCTGCCAGCCATGGCCACCCATTGGCTGATTCTTGGAAGCACACTGGGCTCTGCCAATGTCACGTCACCTATCGCAATAGATTCCTATGTAGTTTAGCTCAGGCACGCAGCTGACCCCCATCAGCGCAGCACTGTGCACTACACAGTCTATAATGGATTTACCTCACGCAGCCCTGGGGCAGGGCAGGGTCATTATTCCCATTGTACAGGTGGACAACTGTGGCCAAGGGAGACTAGGGGCCAGATCCACAAAAGGTATTTAGGCTCCCAACCTCTGTCGATTTCCGTGGGAGCCAGAAATCTAAATACCTTTAGATCTGGGTCCAAGTGACTCGCCCAAGGCCACACAGGGCATCAGTGGCAGAGCAGACACTTGAATCCAGGCCTACCCAGTGCCAGGCTCATACCCTGATCACAGGCTACTTACCCGAACCACTAGCCCCTAGCACAGCGGCTCCCAAACATTTTCCCTGCACGACCCCATTTTCAGATGTGTTGCTTCCCATGGCCCCAGGTGCACAGTGTGCATGAGCTCACGCTGCATGGCAGGCACCATTTTGTAGAGCAAAATAGCTTCATTGTGTGAAATGGCGACCCCCCCACACTCAGGACTGCCACACCCCCACCTGCTGATGGAGCAACTCCGCTTGGGAACCGCTGCCTTGAGGCCACTGACCTTCCCCGTCAGCGCCAGCCGTGCTGCTGCACCTACAAGGACTCAGCCGGGCCCTGACGGCACAGCTGGTGGGCGGGGATACTGGAGACCTAGTTTGAAAGGTACATTAGCTCCGTATCTCTCTTTGGCTCATGCTTGTTGTCGTAGGCGGTGAGCTCTTCAGGGCCACACACAATGCCTAGCACTCTCAAAATGCGAATTAACAATAGTTAAATCACTACTGTAAGGGGACTGTCGGCCCCTCACTGAAACTCAGTGTGTGTCGGGGGGGTTGGCGGCTAGCTCCCAGTACCAAAAGGAAGGGGGAGGGTTGGTGGGAAATCAGGACCCTGAGACTGACAGTCCCAGGAACAATGGGGAGAGGCCAATGCTCCAGGTCAGGGAGGGTGTCAGGAGGCCGGGGGGGTCCCGTTCTACCGTGAGCAGGAATGGCCTGGAACAGAGAGGGGCCGAGCTAAGGAGAGAGCAGGGGCCCGAGCTGAGCCGGGGAGCAGGGCTGGGCCAGAGGGGCCAGAGAAGCAGCCCAGGGGGCTGGAGGCAGAGCAGCAGCAGCGGCGCTGACAGGGCTGGCTCCAGGCACCAGTGCAGGAAGCAGGTGCTTGGGGCGGCACGTCCAGGTCTTCGGCGGCAAGTCCCTCGGTCCCTCTCAGAGGGAAGGACCAGTCACCGAATTGCCGCCAAAGAATGAAGCGGCATGGTAGAGCTACTGCCGGAGTGCTGCCGATCACCACTTTATCTTTTTTTCTTTTTCTTTCCCCCCCCCGCTGCTTGGGGCGGCAAAAAAGCTAGAGCCAGCCCTGGGTGCTGAGGCAGGATGGGGCTGGAGCCGGAGCCATCCAGAGCCGGGTGCGGTGAGCAACTGGGAGAGTGACGGGGGGACCCTGGGCAGTGGGCCCAGCACAGGGAGACGTCTTAGCCAAGAGGCCCTGCAGGCCAGACTTGGGGGGGATCGTAACCCCGACGGGGCGGGGGCGACGCTGGGAAGAAGGGTCCTGCCACCTAGAGCCTGAGAGCATGTGGCCACCGTCAGAGCAAGTGTCCGACCCGCAGCATCTCTGCAGCACAGCCAGGGCCTGGGCCGTGTGAGGAACAGACTGAACTGCCCGGACGTTCCAGAGACGCTGGTTGCGACGTCCCCGTGCCACAGAGTGGGGTGATGGGATTTCCTTTCTCCTTTCCCATTTTTCCATATTTTTTAAAGTGATTACTGTTTAATAAAGTGTATTTGATTTGAACTGTATTAATGATCAGTGGATCAGGGAAGTGTCCAGAGTGGAGAGAGGACCCCGGAGTGGGGACACCCTAGCTCCTGCCCTGAGTGACCATGACAAGGTTGGGGGTCGAGCCCCCCAGGAATCCTGGGCCCAGCCTTGTTGGGGTTCCGAGGACTCTACCACACAGGAGAGTGGAAGGGGAGCCCTCGAGGTCAGGCAGGGCTCTGCGTAAAGGAAATGGGAGCGAGGACTCAGATCCTTTCACTAGCCCGTTTCACCGGGGTCGTGTATAAGCCTGGAAAGTGCCCCACAATGGAAGGTCAGCATGTGACTTATCCGACCAGTCAGAAAAAGACTGTTACCTTTCGTAACAGTTGTTCTTTGAGATGTGTTGCTCATGTCCAATCCATTGTAGGTGTGTGTGCTTGCCACATGCACCGGTGCTGGAAGTTTCTCCCTCACTGGTATTCATAGGGGACCGGGTCTGACGCCCACTGGAGTGGTGCGCGTAAGCACTGATATAAACGGTTTCAGCCAGCTCTCCCCTCCCTCAGTTCCTTCTTGCCGGAACTCCGATAGAGCGGCAGGAGGGCAGGTCCTGGAATGGATACGAGCAACACATCTCAAAGAACAACAGTTACGAAAGGTAACCGTCCTTTCTTCTTTGAGTGCTTGCCAGTGTCCATTCTAGGGTTGCCAGGTGTCCGATTTTCAACCGGAATGCCCGGTCGAAAAGGGACCTTGGCGGCTCCGATCAGCACCGCTGACTAGGCCATTAAAAGTCCAGTTGGTGGCGCAGCGGGACTAAGGCAGGCTCCCTATGCGGCTCCGTGTGGCTCGAGGAAGTGGCCGGCATGTCCCCCCTCCAGCTCCTAGGCATAGGGGCAGCCAGGGGGCTCTGTGCGCTGCCCCCGCCCCAACCACCAGCTCTGCAGATCT